GGCTAAAGTAGTGGATGACCTTGCTGTACGGCAAGTTAAACAAGGATCTGAAACTACTAGGTTCCGTACAGACTCAACTCTGCACCCGTGTCAATATGTTCATTATATGCAAGCCTCTTGATTTATAACCTAATTTTTTATTTTATCCTGTATGATGTATGTACTGATCCTGCTAAACAAGTACAAAATCTTCAAAGCATGAGCAGCCCACGAAAGATTATATAAGCGGAAATAATAAGCCGACCTTTAATCAAATGAATAAAAGGTACTTACAACTTTTTTAAATGAGTGGAATTCCCAAAAATTGTATTATTATTAATAGTTGTTACCTGCACATTGCCACACATTTCCCTTAACTTTTTATGTTTTGTATTATTTATTACACTGTAACATTAACAGTAATTGTGAGCTTTAACATTAAAGTTTGAAATTTTGCGCATACTTCTTCGTTTTTACGTTCATTGCATCCAATAAACTAAAAATAACCATTTTGCGTTTGTGTTTTATTTGTAAGACGTTCCAGCTTCGACGCGCTGCGCCGCACGAATTATTATTAAATTGTTACGCTTCTTAGCGAAATCAGTTGTATCGTACATTGACCCTCATTGTCATTTCATTTAGTGAGGGTAAAGGACACACTTGCTAGTAATGCTTCTTTGTGCCCGTTGACTTCACATAGCCATGTGTCTACGCGTACTGCTCGGCGGTCACGCGCTACTGCAAGCGGGAGGGCTCTGGTTAGAGCAACCTGTTGACTAAAATGAACATTTTGTAGATTTTCTCCAAACGGCTTTCATCGGAGTGTGGCGCGGGTTATTTATTACATACTAGGTTATCACAAGCCAGGCGCAGGCCAACATTATCGTTTAATTGTGTCAGCCGCGCGGCGCTACCAGGTTGCACAGTATGTTTAATATTTAAAAAATCATATACATTTACTAATATCAAATAAGAGTCGGCCGGATGATGATTAATCACTCTACACTCGACTGTCACGTGACTTTTCAACCCCTTCTCTAGCTGGTCCTGAACGACTACCTTACTCGGGAATATTATGACTGGGATAAAGTGGTGGGTTTTGGAAAATTCCGCCATATTTTCCCCGGTCATTAATTTTCCCAGTCATGAATTAACCCGCTATAAGATTCCCGAGTAAGGTAAACTAATAGTAATACATTTTGATGCTTGGTGGGTTTTGGAAAATTCCGCCATATTTTTCCCGGTCATTAATTTTCCCAGTCATAAATTAACCCGCTATAATATTCCCGAGTAAGGTATTCGAAACTCTTGATTCACGATATCAATCCTTCGCATCTCGCCGATCTGCATACGTGCATATGTGGTTGCGAGAAGCATTATTTGATGCGCGCGCGACCCAGTAGTTATAGTGCATCGCGCTACAATCGAAACTCTAACCCTGTAATCTGATCCCAACCCTAACCCTAACCCAGAGGCGGCTATTGAGGCCGGCGTCCAGGCGTCCGTGGACGCCTTTAAATTATTATTTGGTGGCTGGTGCTCAAAATAAAAATAGTAATTAGTAATAGTGTTAGGAAAGCTAGGAAATAACAAATAACAATATAAAGGTCTTCGTTTACTATGATCATACGTTTTAATGTAAGCGCACGCATGATCTTCGTGAAATTTTGTGTTGTAGGGAGTCCAATCCTACCTTTGGACTACTCAGCCGCGCAGTTTTAACACATAGTTAATTGTAAACGTTACAAAGCAAATCGTGCGCATCCCACTACAGGTAATCTATTATGATTTGCCTCGATTTGGGGGTCCAGGATCCTTTGAACTATTGACTGTTGTGATACTGCGTGGCTGAGATCGTACACGTGTGGTGTCCTGTTTCACCCATGTTATAAAATTTTGTTTTTGTATGCTGTCGCCTGTAATGTGTAAAGTGTTACACATTACATTTACAAGGCCCTGTGTGTAATGTAATCGGTAGTTTGGAGGGATCAGCTTGAGCCGGCTCCCATACCAAGCCCCCCTCCCCCAGTCCATCGATTGGACCCCCAACAAAACTGCCAGCCAGCTCCCACGAGCCGCCTCTGCCCTAACCCAATCCTTAACAAAAGCATATGCTGAAACCCTAATCCTATCGAGAAATTAGACTAACCTCCTTATACGGTCATATCACGTGATCAAGACAGTTTTTCGCCAATATCTCGTCAGGGGAGCATTTTAACCCTATGTCATGGGGGGTGATTCGGAATCAGCGTCCGAAAATACATCTATTGAGGTTGGTTTCAACTGTCGGGGAACCTTTTAGAACAATCTCGAAGATCGACTGTAGAGTGATTTAGCACGCTCGATCAGAGTCCAATCTAGCTGCAAACGTTAGACATGCACCACAGTTCAGCCGCCAAGTACCGTTTAAGTGAACACCGAGACACGAGGTTTAGGTGTAATTTTGTAAACCACTCTTATGAAAGGATGATTTAGTAGTTGTTGTAGAAAATCACAGTCACAGCCCCATATACACAGGGAGACCAAAGTGCGAAGAAACTGCTGCCGACATCCGCCAACTGCCGCCAACTGCTGCTAACTGCTGCTGACTGCTGCTAAAAATCCAGCACCTTTGACTGAATGACGTATTTTTCAATCTCATCCAGGTTAGAAGACGAGCTATGAGGTCTCCTAAATTTGCACTCAGTCACAATTGAGTTTATTTAGAACTATGGTTACGAAAGCATTTAAATTATATATTTTTAGATGTAAGAGTATTTCATGCTCAAGCTCCTTCCAATAAGGCTCTAGGATCTCCAACCACTATGTACAATAGCCACGAGAGACAAAAAAAGAATTTATACAATAAAAGGATTGTAGAAGCGGAACATGGGACGTTTACACCGATAGTCCTATCAACCACTGGGGGCATGGGAAGGGAAGCTAATAAGTTCTTCAAGAAATTAGTGGAAAAACTTTCTAGGAAATCAGGCCAACGATATAGTGAGGCAATGACATTTATTAGGAAGAGAGTAAGATTTGACCTTTTGAGAACAACAGTCATAGCTCTTAGAGGAGAGAGAGGGTTAAAAAGTAGTAGTGCAGTAAAAATTGAAGAATTAGATATAAATTTGGAGCCAGTTCTTTAAACTGGCTTACTTAAAGGGTGTTTATAAATTTTATGTAGTTTTCTATTGCATTTATATTGAATTTTTTCCTTTTCACCCTTTTGAAAAAAGGCAATAGTGAAAGGTTACGAATGGAGGTTTTTGCAGAAAAACGTGGATTTTGGAGAACGAGATTGGTGGGTTTAAATATGTCGTGTGTCCTTCCTTCCTTCCTTCCGTTCGTTACCATGCAACGAAAAAGTTGGGCGCGCGCGAGGATTGCTTGCGGAGATGTGATGTATAGATAGCCTGTGATCTATGAATGCGCGGCGCGACTGTGTTTTAATGTATATGATGCATGTAATGTATAATATTACTATTAGGTAATACGCCCAATTTGTACGTGGCACGCGTAGTGTATTGATGTGTACACGAGTATAGTTTAAATTTGCTGATAATTTCTTGAATTACAGATACAAGTTAAGTTCTACGGCAATTGAACTGAATTTCAAGTGTTTCCCGTATTTGATGCATAATTTATCAATATTATTATCATGAAGATTGAAGTGAGCTGATTGGAGCTTATACTTAAATTTATAGTAAATGTGAAATGGAAATCTAGCGTCCGCCAAAACGAAACAACGGGCGCAATTCTTGTTATACCGTATAGGGTAATTGTTATATTATGTGTATATTGTTTGAAATTCTTCTTTTTTATATAAATGCTTTAAAGCTCTCAAACTTTATAAAATAACTTGATCTTGGGTTATCATTAAAGTCTACATGATGCATAACTGATCATTGAGTACGATTGAACCTCAAAAGTCATCTGCTTTCCCACGTTTCTAGTTCCCTTTCAATAATTAGTGTCATGATGAGATGCATTTCCAATAAGCTCAAAGAAGTAATTTAACACTTCAAATTCTAAATATTATCTGGTAAATCATTAATTGTACATATCATATCTAAATATAATGTGAATTTTGTGTCTTTTCATTAGATTATCTCTAGGAGTATTCATGTGTGATAAAATAATCGTTGATCTCAACAGTTAAAAACATCCTGACGAATAAATCATGCTACGCAGCAAATAACATCATTTTCTGTTATTCCACTGGTCACTGAATTAAGCTGCTATTTTAGGTCTCTTGTTGGTTAAAATTCGTGTTGTGTCAGGTGAGATCATCATGCTTTTATTGTGCTTTTAAACTGGATTGTGGAATATGGCCAATGTTTTTGGCGGTGTGGTTTTGTGTGAGTAGAACAAATCTGCTGAATTAATCAGGTGACCAACCGTTTGCAATTAGAACCGAAGCTCATTTATTCTTAAATCTGTTTGTCGAAGTATTAAAACCTCTCTTACTTGATGGTTTTCGACAGCTGAAATAGTAAAAATACATATGTTAGTATCATTGGCAAATAGTACAAACTTTCCTGTGCTCAATGAATAACAGAAGTCATTAATATTAGTAATAAAGGCAGAGGACCAAGATAGGAGCCCTGAGGCACTCCACAGAGTACAGACATTGGGTAGTTTCTTACCTAATACTGAGACATACTGGTATCTATTTCCCAGATAGCTAGGCTCTATTTAAGGTTGTTTGACGTCAAAATAGTGAATCAGGAACTTGCTGAATGAACATTTAAAACTGTAGCAAATCATCTCGCTTTAAAATATAGCTTGCTTTTTTAATATCTCTAATTTAATCTAGGTGAGTATAATATACTTAATTTTTAGCTGTAAGCCATTGTTATGAAATTATATAACGTAAAGTTCGTCCCTTTTTATAACAAATCATTTCACTAAAATATATTGATCTCAACTAGCCAAATGGCTACATTCGTCAAAAAAAAGAAAATTGCTTTAATTGATTAACAACAATACATTATATTACATTTTGGTTTGATACTTATTACATGAAAACTTAATGACACAATCATTTTAGCATTGCGAAAATATCAGTTTTAGGTCAGAAAATCAACTTCATGCTCATTTGGTAGATATCAAGCAACGCTCCCTGTGATGGCAAATATCTTCAACGAGCCATATTGTGCTATTTACAACAAAGTTCCGCACAAAGAGGTTAAACCAGGGAAGAAGCAAGTCGCAGATTTTCACTATGTCAAAACCATCGGGGAAGGCTCCTTTGCGGCTGTGTTGAAGGTTTCAGAAAAAGGGTCTGATAGAGAGTTTGCAATGAAAATTCTAGAAAAGGTAAGATTTGATAATATATAATACAGTTTCTTTTACAGAAATACTTTATTCTTGTTCTTCAAGCTGTTATGATCAGTGGTACTGACCTATAGCTATAGCTATTTGAGTATGAATTTTGCAGTTAATTTATGTTAAGTTTGTAATCAGTATTCAATTTCTAATTATAATTAATCCTCACAGTATGTCAGAATATGAACATTAGAACTTACCAAATACCAAATATACCTCTCCCATAATATCAATCAACATTCCAACTGGTTACATAATTTAAACATATATTACAGAGGCAGATACAGAAGGAGAACATGACAGCACGTGTGATGAGAGAAAGAGACATAATATGCTCCCTGGACCACACTTTCATCATAAGACTCTACTGCACCTTCCAATCAGAAACTCATCTCTTCTTCTGCTTAACACTCGCTGAGAACGGATGTATACTAGATTACTTACTTAAATATGGGTCATTTTCTCTGCCTGTCTCCATGTTCTACATTGCTGAGTTGGTACACGTTATCGATTACATGCATAGCAAGGTAAAACAGATACTTTATATTTGATTGAATCTGGTATGAGTTTTATCTGCAACATCATCGACCACCAATGATTAGCATTTAAACCAACTTTATACCAACTTCTGTTTATTTTGATATTGTTTAGTCCATTTTCATTCTGATATTATTAAGCAAACACTTAGATAACTGATGAACTGTTGAATCGTATTCACTGTCTGACTTAAGCATTCAGAATGTGTTACACAGAGACATAAAGCCAGAGAACATACTGTTAGACAGCAGAATGCACATATTATTAACGGATTTTGGTACTGCTGGCACCGTCACTGCTGAAAATCAGAGGAGGAAATCCTTTGTCGGTTAGTATGATAAATGTTTATTAAGATTCTTACAGGCCCAACAGTGGGTATTCAAGTAAATTCAAATCGCAATACTTATTTTAGCTGAGCACTATATTATATCCACAAAGCTTAATTAATATAATGATGTTGTGTGCTAACAGTTACCCCATCAGGAACAGCTCAGTACGTAGCCCCTGAATTGCTGGGGGAGGGAGAGAAGTACACGTGCAAGGAGAGTGATCTCTGGGCTGTCGGCTGTGTCTTGTATCAATTCATTTCCGGCAAGTTCCCCTTTAGAGGCTCCAACGACTGGGCTATCTTCCAGGTATGTCACGTGACTTGCGAGGGGTTATTTTTAATTTTAAAACACGTCAGAAAATAGTTGGTTAGAAATGTTGGTTAAAGAAATGTTCTGCTTGGATACCTAAAGCGATGGAACAAGTCGGGTGCACTGCTCCAGTTGACGTGACGTCAGCAGTGTGTAAACGTGCGATGAGAACACTTTGGCATTAATGTTTTCTGCATCGTTCCACTTTGTTCGGTTTCAGGCGGAAAAAATGAAACAGCTGAAGGCTGAGCTGAGCTCCATCAAGAGCCAGCTAATCGAGAATCAGACGTGGGTAATCAGCTTACAGGAGCAGATTATCGACAACAAGGACAAGCAGCTCGAGGCAGTAAAGACTGTGGTCAAGTCTTCAGTGGAGAGCAACTTGAAAGAACAGTTCAAGTCATACAGTGAAGCTGCTGCGGAGAACGTTATGGCTTTATGGTCTGCCAGACTGATAGTTTGGCAGATCCGGCCACTATGAAAAAATTGGTCAAGTCCGTCGTCCAGGAGGAGGATCGGAGCAGGAACGTTGTATTATTTGGACTGTCAGAACAGAAGGACGAGAATGTTGAAGAGCGGGTACAGGAGTTATTCCAGGAGATAGGACTAATCGTAAAACCTACTCTGCAGGCTACCAGAGACCAGAGTAGGAAAGATTCGTAAAGAGAATTCGAAGCGCCCAGTCAAGGTTTTGTTATCAAGTCACAGCGCTGTCCATCAAGTGCTATGTCAAGTCAAGAAGCTGCGCCACTCAGCGACTTTCAACAAAGTGTATGTGAGACCAGATCGCTCCAAAGAAGAGCGATCTCAGGACAGGCTCCTGGTTCATGAACTGGTGAAGAAAAGAGAAATGGAACCGGATAAACTGCATTTCATACGATCGGGGACAATTCACTCAAAAGACAAGCCAATCGAGTGATGATGTGTGTTGTGGCTGTGGTATGTGTGCGGTTTTTAAAGATGGTGAATGTTTATGCGTACCACCTTGCACTAGCTTTTCTTGTTTTCGCTCCATATGAGCACACAAAACTTCATAGTTTTCGCAATATTTTGGTTTGATTTCATTTTAGGCTATTGAAGTGTTGGGGTGATTTCATACTAAACATGAACCATATAGTGTGCAGTGCCCTGACAGAGGGATTATTATTCACTATTATTTTATATGTTTTAATTGGTCATTAGAACCGCCTGACACCGTCCAGCTTTCAATCAATCTTTTATCACACGAAATCTGATCTAGGATTACCTGGTTTAAATTATCTTATACTAAATCTAATATTACGTGGAGATCCAGATACTATTGGCTGAGTGTAGCAACGTTAGTAACAGAATGTACAGAATTTTACATGGACCGAATTTATTACCCCATCACGTCTATAAATAGAGTGTTATTAGGTCCAATAACACTAGTCTTAGAACCCATTTATAAGTTAGTTACTCCGTTATTAATGTGATAACCACAGCGCTAAGTAAATACCGAACTGGTGGTTGTTTGCACAAAATCACGTACACGAATAGAGTGAGTCAGAAGTAACATCTGTCCTCACGCAACTCTTGAATAACGTAATTCTAGTCAGATTTGCACAACAAGTTCAGGGATTACAGATATAATATATGGGTCTAAGTTTTAACTAAGATTCCCAGCAGGTAACGTAAAATCACAGTGAGTGAACTAACTAACTAATATTGACTTACCTCCTCTAAAAGATTCAAAATTAAGGGCACTTTTACATAACAAGGTACATACCAGTATGTATGTATCCTCACATACCAGTATGACGTCATGTCAGTGTTGTAATACTAGTGAATTCAGAAGTACACTAAAATATGAACGCTGCTTATCAACTTGGTTCTAATAAATCAAATAACAAATTGTTATTGGACTTGCCTTTGCCTGGTTCGAATAATGTGCATATTTATCCCAGTATTTTGTATTTAATAATTTTTCTAAATTTGGTAAACCTTTTCAACAACAGCGCTGTTTTCTTATTATGAACGAAGTGGTGAACGAAGTGGAATACGGGCTCTTTTGTGGCCATACACAAAATGTTTAATGCATTCTATTCAGCAGATCATGCTATTACTCGTTGTATGAAATACAAATTCCATTCATGTTAATTTCTTATTTAATCTGTGTACATACAAAATATATTATATTATTACGTATAAAATATATTATTACAAATATATTACATCAGTGCAGACTTACATAGTGGTGGGAAAGGGGTCCGGGACTTTACGGCGTAAGACCCTAACCCTAACCCTAACCCTAACCCTAACCCTAATCCTAACCCTAACCCTAACCCTAACCCTAACCCTAACCCTAACCCTAACCCTAACCCTAACCCTAACCCTAACCCTAACCCTAACCCTAACCCTAACCCTAACCCTAACCCTAACCCTAACCCTAACCCTAACCCTAACCCTAACCCTAACCCGCCGTAGAGTCTCACGCCGTAGAGTCTTACGCGTAGAGTCTAACGCCGTAGAGTCCGGACCCCGTGGGAAAGGTAGCCATATTTGTTTAGACACGTGACATTGATTCGATGTTTGGTATTTACTATTTGTATCTAATTTGTCAATCATAATAATATAACAGTCACGTGTCTGAGAAAATCTGGCTCGCACCAGTATTCACGTCTAACACGTGTATTCAGCTATTTTTACTGTGCCATATCAAGATGCAGTCTAAGTTATGTTTACTGTTGTATCAAGATGCGGATTGAGTGTGAAGAGAATGCTGCATAACATGCAGAGCTTGTTGACTTTTCCTCACTCTCAGCACAGCCTTTATGTCACTACTATCTGGTGTGTTTATTTGTTCGTGGTTACTGTTAAACATTTAGTGCAGACTTTATAATAGTGAGTAAATGGTTCGACTTTTGGATTCTTCTGCTTGTAATCTAATTATAAACCTCCCGGGTTATTATCAGAATAGAATTACGGAGTCCTTGTAGGCTGGTATGTTCTTCTTGATTACACTTTATAAAGTTGATTAGTTGAGTTGTAACACCATTAATTGGTTAAATAAATGAAATGTTAAAGGTAAACCTCAGTAATTTATTTTTCAGATAGTAAAGAAATGCGAGTACAAGTTTGAAGAGGGTTTCCCAGAATTAGAGAAAGATTTTATTAAGAAGCTGTTAATTCTCGATCCTACACAGAGACTTGGAAGTCAACAAACTGGTCAGTTTGTTATAATAAATGGTCTATAATTAAATATATTATGCTGGAAATTGTAATATCGAAGAGTTAATTAATTACTGGATGTGAAGGAAACACAGTTACCCGTGCTTTTCTTCGTTAAATAACCTGCTTACTCGGTGACTCAATGATTTCTTTTTTGACATAATATTATAAATTGATGCTTGTCCTGATGTAGTTCATAGCAATGTACTGAGAATACAATCTCCTTGTGCTACATCGGATCTCTCTTAAAGTCTTAATCATTATCCAATCATTTCATAGCAATTGACTACAAAAGCGTGAGTTTGACCCATGGTGGATCAAGTTTAATTTGATTTGTTCAAACTCTCAAATATACTACTTCTGATTAGTGATTACGTCTGGTTTCATTACCAGCTGATCATCTAACAAGTTAGTCTTACCTAACATTGACCACAACAGATCTGGGTTCTGTTTCGCTAAAACGTAATAATAATAATTTACAATTAATTAATAATAATTACAGGTGGGATTGGGGAGCTAAAGAAACATGATTTGTTTACAAATGTTGATTGGGAGGGACTAAGTGAGAGCACACCTCCTAAAATAGGCCCTTATCTTCCTCTGTCTGACTCGGAGGTAATAATATGGGATAGCATTTGTTGTTAGAATTAAATCGATCATGATGATTTCTGAAAACTAATATTTGTTGCTGACATTTATCTTTTTGTGTAGTTTATTTTTTCTTCTTGAATTTAATATAGATTTCGGTTTTACTTTCAATCTTGAATATCTGAAAGTGGTATATCAAATATTCAAAGGATTTAAACAATCCGCAGAACGGTAGTTTAACGGACGAGAGCGTAGAGATAGAAGAGTTTGATAAGCTCAGTATCACAGCACCTAAAAAACTAATCGACAACAGACAATCCTTACTGAGTCAACAAGCTCAGTCTCACCCCGACATCAACAAACATCTTAATGGTGAGTCTACTTACTTGGGTTACTTGGGGTTGCTTCATAGATCCTCTATCGGGTCATCAGAACGGCTGACCACCCGTGCAGCAAAGTTGCTGTCTTTTCTGCGCTCCAGTTCAATAACGAATTCCCGTTCTGGCAACAATATCCAGTAACAGGAGGGTCGTTCGGAATAGATGTAACAAACTCCGTCAACAATGACTTGAAGCGTAGGGGGTCCTCGATAAGGTGCAGGTTTGCTGGAATGATGTTCCACAATCGAGGCCCCATCACTGCAAATGAGCTGTCAAAGATCGTTTGATTCCTTTGGCTACTGGACGTTGACAAGCTAGGGACTACTGCTTTCTGGCCATAACGGAGTGTATCTGTAAACTGAACGTTGACATCATTAGGACACTTCTTGTGTAGAATCTTCCACATATGAATGATAGTGTAACGTTCTCTCCTCCGTTGAAGTGACATCAATTTTAAGGCCTTCAGTCTCTGCCAATAGTTCAGATGTTGCACACCATGTATTTTGGACGTAAATGTACGTTGTACTCCCTCTAGCTCAGCGATATCAGCGATATCAGCTTGCTTAGTTGAATTCCAGAGGGGACAGTCACCTTGCTTCACTAAGCAATAATTAAGTAATAATTAGGTAAATTAGGTAATGAGATACTAGTGGAGAAGTTTTGAGACGGTCATCTCCAAGATTAGACTTATTATTGTCAATATATTCATTATTCATCCACATTTTCTATTGACATCAACGATTATCACTCTCATGCAAAGTTCGCTAATCGGCAATGCATAATTATATAATATGTTATCATATAATGGAATAATTACTGCGTATACTCAACCAAACCAAAGTATTTTCCTCTCCATTTAAAAAACCGACGTAATTCCTCACATTCCGTTGCAGTGCAGACAGGTGCAGCTGCACGGCGGATAACAACTGCCATCTACACACCCGACAACATGACATACTTTACACAGCGTTAGATCACGTGACCTAGTGAAGTCTAGTAACCATGGCAACCACTGAACCACCATCACGTGATCTAGTGAAGTCACCGAAGTGAAGTGTCAACATTGTGCCAACCCACAATTTGACCATATTTGGTAGTTAACATTTGATACCCTGGCTAAATGCATTATGTAGTATGTACTGGGATATGCTGTGTAAAGTTATCTTTACACGTTATGATATGACTCACCATTTATGTGTGAAATACAATGATCTGATTGTGTTGGTCAGAATGTGAATATCTCATGCAGTACCATAGAAGTCGAGGGTGAGGGTGAGGGTGAGGGTGAGGGTGAGGGTGAGGGTGAGGGTGAGGGTGAGGGTTAGGGTGAGGGTGAGGGTGAGGGTGAGGGTGAGGGTGAGGGTGAGGGTGAGGGTGAGGGTGAGGGTGAGGGTGAGGGTGAGGGTGAGGGTGAGGGTGAGGGTGAGGGTGAGGGTGAGGGTGAGGGTGAGGGTGAGGGTGAGGGTGAGGCGATATCGAATATTTTGCTGAACTCTTCTTAGATTACATACAGGGCATTTCAAAAGTCTTGCAAGGATGTACTTTTGTATCCTACTGAACGGATATGTTAATAGTTAGCTAAATCCTGTGAAACTCAGTCATAATACTGTTATCAACAAAATTAGATTAGCCGTATTTCACTTATATTACTATCAAAATCTTATTGAATATATTAATATAAATAGCTCAAATCTTATTATCAACCAATTTAATATTTTAAACACAATTCATTATTATTAACTTAATCCTCCAAATTCCAATTTTGTGGTGGTAATTCAATTCCCACTCCTAATACACTACACAGTACACAGTAAATACTGATTACAGTGCATAATGTGCATTACCAGCAATTCAATTTGAGGAATGTGACGTATACTTGTATACATGACGCGTTGCTATGTACTTCAATTACATCATTAAATGGTGGTTGCCATGGTTACCCTCTGCAACATAACAGCACTTTAGGGATATACGGTAAAGGTGAACTTTATTCTCCTTATGTTTCGTTCTTTAGATTTGTTTAAAAGTCTTTTTGTTGTATGAGTTTGTTGTCTAAGTTTAGTTGTGTCGGTAAACTCCTCTTTGTTTTATTAGTTACCTCCAGCGATGTCGTTTTTAGTGTTTAGATGGTTAAACTGTTTTAACAGCGAAACAAATTGTGCAAACGGACCATGCAAATTTGTAATTGATCGTTAATCTCTATATTAGAAGTGAATCGCATGCAATTACCTTAACTTGTTCTCCTAATTTTAGGCAATGATTAGGGTATGGCATTCTTATGATTTGCCTAAGATGTTTCCCGTGGCATGCATAAAGTTAATTTAATAGCCGCTTTAATGCAGCTACAACAATTGTACAATAAGACTACCTGGCTTACCAATTACCATACCAACCTGGGTTACCATACCAACTGAATCATTGTATTTAAAATACTACACCATTTTAAAATAGCCTGCTTTAACGACTGCTGAGTGCTGGCTGCTGCACTGTATCCCACATATTATCCCTTATGTGGCTTAGTCAATCCTGCAGTCGCATAATGGATTATTAAACTAATAATCGTATACTGACAGTCCTTTTGATGGCTAGACTATTATAATAATGCTAATCTGAGTTTCGCAATTCCACCCCAGATTAAGTGGTCAGATAATAAACCACCATACCACTTAACCATTACCTTGCTGGTCGGTGGTCACCAGGTAGTTTTGCAAAATGATAACTTTCACTGAACACAATTTGCTAATTGATATTACCAGGTAACGAGTTGATCGTAAAAGACGGTATTATAAACAAAAGAAGAGGATTATCTCGGAAGAAAAGACACCTCATCTTAACTGACTACCCTTCTCTTTATTATATCGGTTAGTCTTTTATAGTCTCATTTTAGTCTTTTATAGTCTCATTTTAGTCTTGTTTTAGTCTTATTTTAGTCTTATTTTAGTCTCATTTTAGTCTTATTTTAGTCTTATTTTAGTCTTATTTTAGTCTAATTTTAGTCTCTATTTTAGTCTTATTTTAGTCTCATTTTACTTGTGGAACAAACTAGAAAAAGCCCATTTAGATGAAATTTATATCTTCGCGACTCTATCCCAGCTACTTGCTGACAAGAAATACTCCTTCTCAACATCATAAAATAACTGACCAATATCCCCTCAGATCCAGCCTCCAAGATACTGAAGGGTGAAATACCTTGGGAGGGCGGTTTAGAAGTTAGACAGAAAGGGAAGAAACACTTTCAAGTTCACGTACCCAACAGAGTGTATTACTTAGGTAAAATTACATAACGTTGCTGCCTTGATATCGATTCAAAATACCAGAGTTTTATTCTGGATTGGACTGAGAAAACCTGAATATTAAGCATTATATTATGAAGTTGCAATTAACTTTGTCTATCTTGTAAAGCAGGTAATTATTTTATTGCTAATATTCAGAAAGTGCAAGTGCGGATGCGAGCGAGTGGTGTAAGAGTATACAAGACGTGAAAACGATGGTTCAAGAACGTCCCAAGACTTAGCCGAGATTTGGAACTCTTAATTAGGGTATCTTTGATAGTAATTTCGTACTTATTTCGTATTCGGGATTCTGTATGAATTTGATAAAATCGGATTAATTTTTGTTTAGGTTTCACTTTAATTTGAGATGCTTTCATTTTTGTTAGTTTTGAGTATGATTTCGCTGCCTGTGTAAAAGATTCGTTGTTCAAACAGCTAAACTTAACTATGAATTTGCATTGCACCAATATTTCTTGGTTTGCATGATATTAATGTTGATTATGTGCTTTGATAATGCGTCGGCAGTATATGGAGTATGGACTAATGGACTTGTGGCCGAATTATTTTGTTTTATCGATGCTATCCGATATAATAGTCGAGGAGCATCCTTTCATTATGTTGAATCCTACATTTTGTATGAATGTACTTTTGATAACAGAATTTTCGATGGTCAATTGTGAATAACTGCCACCTTACTGACTGTTTGATTACCTATGTTATATTTTCCTGCCGTCTGGTCTCAATTACTCTGTAACGGACCCTGCGTTCTGGCATTAATTGCAGCGCGGGCTGTCAATTCATCTTTTTTACTAGCTGAAATTGTCTTCTGATCTAATGTAGCTCTATTTTGTCATTTATTAGTGTGATCGCGCGCATTTACGCGCGCGAATCAAGTTTAAAGCATGCTTATATTTAATTCCTTACTTCTTGAATTTTTCTAAAATTTACTCCCAAACGAACTTACCAACTAACAAGCTGGTCATTTTTAACCCACTCACCTAGTTGTTAGATGGCATGAGATGGAATGGAGGAGGTGCCGGAAACAGGAGCGGTATTCACGTTCGGTAAGAGCAGGTTCGGAGACGACAACGCCAACAAGTTTTGGGTAAAGAATGACCCAGTTGTTGCAGTCGCTTGCGGGGATGAACACACTGCTGTAGTCACGTCAACAGGTCCGTTAAATATGAAGTTTTAAGTTATGCTCTTGCTGAAACTTTCCTATTAATTTTCAATTGTATTCCAAAACCGATATAAGTTTGTGTTCTAGCATAGATCCAACTTTATTAGATTTACTTCCGATTTTCCTGGAAAACAGCTTTACAGTTTCCATGCTTTTAAAAGTAATTATGTATCACAGGGCGATCGTACACGTTTGGTAGCAACCAGTGGGGTCAGCTAGCGTTGGGACATACCCGACAAACGAATAAACCAAGTTTTGTAAAAAGCTTGAAAGGAAAGCAAGTGGCTCATGTAGCCTGTGGGAGGACTCACACCTTGATCGCCACCAAGAGTGAGGTGTACGGATGTGGTGGAAATGGGGAACATCAGGTTTGGAATTGTTCTCTATTTCAGCAGTTTTTTTAACCATAAGAAATGTATTTTAACTGTTTTGATATTGTTCAGTACTCGCACTAATTTCTTCATGTCACTTAAATTTTAAATGTTGATGCTATCGTAGGTTATGGGAGTCATTGAAAATAAACGAATAACATCACGCATATTCATTAGTCTCGGTCACTCACGAGTCACGAGGCCAAATGTGTTTGATTTTCCTTTCAGATACAAATTAAATTAATTTTCTTAATTGCCTTCAAACATGACGTTTTCTTCGACAAACTATCCTGTCTGAAAAAAAAGGATTTCAGCATGTATTACATTTATACAAATCATTTTGCGGAAAACGTAATATATGATAAAGATAATTCATAAAGATAATTCATGATGTATAAAGATAATTCTGCATATTTCGTAATCGTGGCGAACGTTTGAGATAATGTAGTAAATTTTGTATAGAATTCTTTCCCCAATTTCATTCTTTAAAGTAGTATAATGAATATTATAATAATATGTAACTTATATACTTAACTAAGATCCATAGGGTAATCCATATGAGTAATGTTTTTTATTTTGTTTTTAAGTGTCCTTATTTTCTGCCGTCTTCACATCATCTTTAGTTTCCACCTGTTTCATTTCAATGTTATCCAACTGTCCACCTTCCTCTGTTCGCGGAACCTTTAGTCTTCTCGTGACAATAGTGCAGATAAGCGCAACACTCAGAAGAAAAGCAAGTCCAGTCAGTCCGATGATAGCTACTTCCATCTTATGAACCGCTAAAAAACAGAAACCCTCCGAAACTCCATACCCTTTTGGACACCGGTAACAGTGTATCCCATCTCCGTGGAGGTCCTCGGGGCAGGAGTGACAAGTGTGGTTTTCCCAGAACTGTCCCAGCTCACAGCGGATACAGGCCTCTGCTCCAGGTCGTGAGACTTTAGATACTGGACACGCTGAACAAGCTGTTGATCCAGCTCTACTGAAGTGGTTCTCCAAGCAGATTTGGCAGAGTGGGCCGTATTCTTCGTCTTGTGTGAGATAGTATCCAGCACTGCAGGCGCAGGTAGCAGATCCAGAGGTTGACGTAGATCTGAGCGGACACAGTTTACAAAATTTGCTGTTTCCGCTGCTAAATGTGTTTTCCGAGCATGGTAGGCATGCCCTTTCAGTCAAGCCCCATAACTGTCCAGCTGGACAAGAACAGAAGGACCTGTCTGATGCTGACCCGGATCCGCTAGGACATAGCTCACACTCAGTGCTGCCGTAGTAGCTGTAACTATTCTCCGGACATAGTGCACAGAGCTCCCCTTGGAAGTATAATCCGGCCTCACAGAGACAATGGGAACTCCCTGGAGAAGAGTTGGAGCCCTCAGGACATGGGACACACTGGGTAGCACCTTGGGAACTGTAGCTGTTCACCGGACACTCATAACACAGTTCACTCTTCCAGAACATTCCAGCGCTACACTCACATTGGTGTGCGTTTAACACGCTGTTTTCTGGGCACAGTTCGCACTTCCCCTTAGTGGTGCTCATGTAGGACCCTTCATTACACGAGCAGGACAGATACATTGCAGCGTTTTTTAGAGCTTCTTCTTGTTCTTCTTCGTGTCCCTCTTCTCCTTCCCAGTATTTCCAGCGTGGTTCAGGCTCTGCATGACAGTTCCCGGAACTAGTCGACTGTTGGTATTCACAAAAGGTTAGAGTTACCACTTGTTCACTGTTTAAAAACTGTTCAGAGTTAAGAATTTCGTTGTAAACGTTCGAGTACCACTCAAGTTCACCAACGCGTCCAAATCCTATCATTTTATTATAACCCTGAGTTTTACACAGAAATACAGCGACTTCTTCGTCCAATTCGGAGTATTTATCATTGTAATCTATCGAAGTGTATTCCACCAAGAAGGACCAGTTCTCCTTGCCCTTTTCTTTAGCCATAACCACCCCATCTGGTCCAGACACCCCCGCTACTTTCCATGTGGTGAAGTCGTACTTTTCCAGTCCGAATATGTAACCTTCGTTTTGCGAACCTGAGGATATATTTGCACGATATTTTGCACGATATTTTGCAAACAAGGCAGGAAAAAAATGGCAAGCAAAACTTCAAAAAGACAGAAACGTTATTAAATAAAAACCTCTAGAGTCTAGGCAGGGATTAATTTTTATTGATATATAAACGAAAAGAATTGTGTTTAAACTTACATCCGTATGCAGTTTTTTGGTATTCCTCATCGCAGCTGCATGAGACTTGGTAAAATCCATAATTCGGATTACCAGATTCCTGCTCTTCTCCCTCCCAATCATTGTAGCAATGTTTTTGGTACATAATTAGGTTCAAGCAGTTTTCATATTCAGATTCATATTCTCCGTCATATTCATATTCTACCTCACACGTGATCGTATATCCAGGAACCTGCTCGTCACCTTCCAGTTCTTGCTTTGACATTGAAAAACTGACAGTTGTATTAAAATTCATCGTTTCACAAGTGGTGCTCTGTCCAACGTTTGTCAAACTGTCTATGTCTGATCGGCTTCCACAAACGTACTGCCACTGGTTTTCATGAACATAATAGTAATTGGTTGTCAAATGCCTCATTTTAAGGATTCCACTGGAGGATCGCTCGCGTGTTTCTGGATCCCACAATGAAAATTCCACTGAGTTACTATCCAACAAATCACCCAGGTTTTCGTATTCCGTCACTATCAGTCCTGTTTGAATTTCTCTGTTATTCTTTTACTTACCTTATATATATATATATATATATATATAATTTACCCCACTAACTTGGACGCATCATCTGCTCAATTACACACGTGTTAATGGTTATTATATATTGATTCTGTGAGAAATCTCATCATAGCTCATTTGACCTCTACTAGTTTAAAATTAGAAAAATAGTTTCATAAAATGGCTAACCTGGCAGGAATGAGGAAAATACCAACAACAACAATCCCCACATTGTAGTTGAATTTATGTTACGAAACTTTGAATTCCTTCACTAAACTCCTTCAAAAATAATCGACCTTACAACAAATTCAAAAATTACAATCAAACGTACAAGACCTGAATGGTTCTGTCTGGAAGTCAAATTATCGTTACCTTTGCCTGAAAACTGCCATCACGTGGAGAACAAACAGAATAGTTCCACAGTCTCCACCACCAGTAGTTGTGATGTAACTTCTGGTACCAGTCAGTTGACTGTCAGTTAGAGGTGTCATTAGTGGGACGGAGCTTAGTTCACTGTAGCTAGTTCACTAGGATGGAGCTTGGCAGTTTAACTCTTTATCATCTGAAGCACTTTTTAACTGTTAGTTCGGCTTTATGAAAACTGTAAACTAGCTACTAAGAAAACAATAACTTGCTAAAAGAATAAGCAATCACTGGGACGGAGCTTGGCAGTTTAACTCTTCATCATCTGGAGCAATTTTTAACTGTTAGTTACCGGCAGAGAAACTCCCAAAATCTCTTTTAAAACCTCATTAAAAAAACCCCCGACTAATCCAATCCTCGGCAGGTTAACGAGTCTACAGATGACGAAGTACTGACCCCCTTCCTCCTGCCTACTCTCTCTGGTATTCTAGTAAAACGTCTCTCTTGTGGTGTGGAACACTCCCTGGTGCTGGGGCACTGTGGAGATGTGTATTTGTGGGGAGGTGGTTCAGAGGGACAGTTAGGGATGGGGGCTAATGTTTCCGAGCTTCTTAAACCTACTGTGTTGCAGGTGAGGCTAGGCCGAGTTTGTGTGTTCGGCTTTATAGTTATTGCAGTCGTTTAATGTTCTTTTAAATTAAAAATAGTTTGGGTATGATACAGAAGAAATCCATAATATAGCCACAAATATTTCACCCAAAAGTAATTTGATTGTTCATAAACTGACGCGGAAATAGAAATCCTTGTTCCAGTTCACAGACGAGAAGATAAAGGATGCCTCATGTGGGTACTACCACACCGGCCTGGTCACACAGTCTGGTAAAGTGTTCACCTTCGGAGAGAACGACAACGGAAAGTTAGGACTCGGAGAAGATGCTGATGATACTTATCATGTCCCTCAGGTTTTTGTAGCTTCTTTTTCGGTGGAGTTATTAGGTCAGGTTGCGGGATCTTTATTAAGTTATTAGGGACCAGTCCCTTAGGTCAGTTGACCTAATTCCAACAATCTTATAAATCCACCCTCAACCTCTATCTTTCCATCCTCCCAATCAAAACTTCTTTTTACAGCCGGTGTTCCTAGTTGACGTAGCAGAGCGGATATGTTGCGGTAACACGTGCACAGCTGTGATGACGTCATCAGGGGGACTGTACATGTGTGGGGATGGACAGAGGGGTCAGCTGGGTTTCGCTCCTAACACTCTCACTAAGTGTGTCTACACTCTTACCAAGGTAACCTCATAAACTATAATACTATAACACTCTTACCAAGGTAAACTACTAAACTATATAACTCTTTAGGAAGCTATCTTACAATTACTTTCATCCGCTTTTCCGAATGATTAATTATATTTTAATGTGTATTTTTAACACATTTTCCACTTACCTCTGCTACCACCCTTTCCAGGAGCCATGCCCTTAATATGATCACCCTTTCCAGGTGCCATGCCCCCCGATAGTAGACATATCAGTAGGAGAGGGGCACACAGCAGTTGTATCTAAATCAGGGCACCTTTACACGTTTGGTGACGGTAGACATGGTAAACTGTGTCACGGCGACAATAACTTTGCAACACTACATAGCCCCTACTTGGTGGAATCGTTCAGGTAAACAGTGGTTTAAAGATTAACGTTACTGTAACCTTTCCCTCTACTCGCGATATTTGTCTTCTTTCTTTCTCCATTGTTTCCTCCGATTTAACTAACCCCTGAGTGCGGTTCAGTTTCACTAAAAGTCGTTGTTTTGGATTTTTCAGAAGAAAAAAAAAACCCATTTAATCGACACGTCCCCTCAGTACGATAGCAACAGTTCAGACAGTAGCGTGTGGAGGATGTCACACCATGGTTATCGCTAAAGCTGGTCGTCCGTTTCAAGACGATAAGAAAGTATCTACTGCCCGGTCGAAACGGCACGGCAAAGGGGCTAGATTAAGTTAGTTTGGTTTGTATTTCGTTTCGAGGACATGTTTTTAGAATACGCATTGACGTGAACCTTCGGGCATGAGCAACATCAGAAATAGATAAATTTAGTTAGATCATGTCCGATAATCCCGGCATCACTTGCTCAAGGAGTGTTGATAATAAATTGTAAAGATGGTTGACAGGTTGAAATAGTGACTTTTTTTATTATTCTCTGACTAATAAATCATCTCATTTTCCTTTTAACCTTCTTGTCCTTTGTCCTCACCAGTGACTTTGTCCCTCAGATGACTCACGGGAGCCACCCTCACTTCCGGCTATCAAACATGGCGACGACAACAAAGAGAACAACCTTAACAACATTCAGATCGTGCAGGAAAACGTCAAAACTCTTGAGAGCGCGCTGAATGAGGTAACATTGATTTATTCAATTAATTAATTAATTAATTCAATCGATTAGTTAACTTTTAAACTTAATGTTTTGACTTTTGATTTGTAGACCTTAATAAGTTATTAAGGTCTACAAATCAAAAATCAAAACACTTGACTTAATTTATCTCCCAAGGAATGATAAATAAATAATTTTGCAGAAAGTAGTTTCAAAGATAAACAAACACGTTAGATTAACGATAAATATCTTACATTTCAGAGTCCTAAGAAGATAGTCAATCTGGATAAAGGCGAGAAAAAGGAAACTGTAGAGAAAGCAGAAGTTGATAAAACCCCAAGCATAGACGAGAAAAATAAGAAAAAATTCGACAAGGAAAAGGAAGACGAAGGAAAGAAGAAAGTTGAAGAAAAGAAGAAAGTGGATGAAAAGAAGAAAGTGGAAGAAAAAAAGAATTTATCGGATAAGAAGATCGTTGAAGAAGATTCGGGCAGTGAAACAGATGAACCGGGCGCCACTAGCGATGGTATTTTAATGTTAGATTGTTGCTTATGATACGTTAAATTATGGGGTTCAAATAACTAAATAAAGTTAAATAAAGTGTCATCTTATAATATGATCAGAGGTAGAAAATTAATTTTCTTCTCAAAATTGTCCAATACCCTGCCACACCCGTTTAAAAGTTAAAAAAGGAAATCAAATATTCACTCCGCTAACACAGTTACAGACTCAGAGGCAGATTCAGAGTTAGAGGAGGAGGAGGACGATAGAACAGCAGGGAGCGGAGGAGGAGGAGGTTTTATGGATAATATCATGAGTATAGATCAGCTGGAACCTGCTGGCAGTGCAGAGGAGAGTGTTAAACCTAGCAGTGTGATCCAAGTCAAGAGGTTAGACACTTATTTCTCTTTATTTTCTTTATTTCTTTTTACGTTCACTTGTTAGTTTGGCTGTAAAGTTGTTAATTAGATGGGATGGGATGTGGTGGGGGGAGGGGAAATTATCTATGAGACGGTATAGTCAACTCTATTTAAAATTAGACAACGCCCGGACGCCCCAAGTCAGCAAAATGATCTCATATAATTTCTAAATATCTAATAAATATGTACATGTTATATTTACTTTCGTCCTGTATCCTAGCAACTATTTCGTAATTATAATTGTCTGACTCGTACGTAGCACGTGGTACTTTTCAGCTGAGGGAGCTTAAGTAAAACAGTAAATGAGATAATGAACAGTAAATTAGATAAAAAGTGGCAGGTGTAAGGGAACTAATTGTCGTTGTTTTGTTTAATTTTTTCTAAAATATTTCATGTTCAGCTCAGAAAATAATATTGACGCCGTTCGTATATCTTGGTTTGGCTGTCATTGCCTAAAATTGTGTAGTACTAGTGCCTAGTGCTGAGAAGCTTTATTAAGTTTCTTAAACTCCACACTCTTTAAAGTATTTCTAGCTACCTTCGTTTCTGTGGTTAATTTCAAGTCCAGAAATAACTTTGATCATGAACTACGCACCTGATTCTTATTATATGATCTGATTAATAACCGTTTCATCCCACGTGGCCTTCAAACCACGTGACGTGACGTCATCCCACGTGACTTTCAAACCTAGGGTTCTACGAATACTCTTTACTTTCTCACTAGTTTAGAAATCTAGACCCCCGTACCATACGCTACCACATCAGAGCATCAGGACCTTTTCATTAATCATTACACCGAGGTTATTAAAAGGTTGGGACATCATGTAGAGACTGCAGCTGTCATATAATGTGTCGTTCTTCCTCAGGCTGGAGACTTGAATATTGGAGCTAGCTTTTATTGATGTTCTTCATTTTATTACTCTGTCGGGCGATTGTGTTGTATGATATGAGGAGAAGAAGCGGATATAATTATAACAATTGGCATTGTTATTCTATTATTAGCGGTTATGTTGCTGATATTTTTATGGTATTTTATAGTATCTTATTTGACGATATAGATCTCACAAGATTCATTGACCTTACATGACAAATTATTTTATACTAGTGTCGCTTATTATATTTGTAATTTATAATATTTGTGGATAATAATATGTAGATAGCATTAGCCCTTGAAAATTTTATAAAATCGGGATGTCATAGCGATGCTTAATATCTATAATCCTACCAAACAACGCCTGAGTAAGGGTAACCTGTGGCTGTACAGTGTACAGCCTATAGGGTATGTTGGAGAAATTCCATGTCAGTCAACAGAAGAAGATTTAAACGGTTTAATAATTTGATTTATGATTTATGATTTAACTATATCTCGAGCGGCTAGTCAGGGATAGGGCAAACCAGTGGACCTCGAACCTCTTTGTAATGCGCGTTATGTTTGTTTCCTTTGAATGGTTAAAGGTCTTGCTGTTAGAAGACCTTAGCTTTGAACTTGCGTTCCTTGTTGTAAACCATCGAATAGTATCACTACTGGGTCACCGTCAAGAACAAGGGAAAATGGTCCGCTGCACGTTCTCCAGGCACGACTTAAACAAGACGCCTACAACATCTTTAGCTCATTTAAAGGTATTTTCCTATTTTGTTAGTTTTGATTCTTCAGAAATTGATTTTGCTTATTTGTCTGGTCAGACAAATTCGTATAAATTCTATTAAGTTTTACCCACCCTGTTCCAAAAACTATTCACTATTCAAGTTTTACCAAATATCTTTTACTTTACGAATTTCATCCTATCTACCCTAACAGAAGCAAGAAGATGGCAATAGCAGAGTTATTGAAGATCAACTCCAGCCTTGGTATGTCCAACTTTTCCCCTGAAGTATGGAGAGTTGTTGACTACATGGCAGGAGCTATCCTCATTCTTTACTTCCTCCTCTCTACCATACTGAACCCCATAGTATTCTATCACTACTGGAAACTACCTTCAACCATTCCTAACATTCTGTATCGGCTACGTGCTATATCAGACTTGCTGACAAATTTGGTTAGGCCCATTGTGATGGTATTTGCCCATTTAATCTCGGAAAAAATCACTGAGGTTCTACAAGAGGGTAATACTGCGTCCTTGCTAATCAGTGTACAAGTAAGGATGAGTATGACCATGTCGTTCGCCTCCGTTGCTTTGCTAGCACTGACTCGGGCTATAAACATTCAGTGGCCGTTCTTCCACATCAAAAAGAGGTTGATTTTCGTTTGGCTAGGATTTATTGCTATATTTGAGTTTGTAGTCGTGACCTGGAATATGGCTGGTGGAAAAAGACACATCAAAAGATTCGTATGTGTCGGAAGTGCGGTAGCATTAAGAAAAGTGACTTCTGAAGAAGGAGGGGAGGATTTAAAACTCAGCAAACTAACAGAACTATCAGCTGCTCCCATGTATCTACATGCAGTGATCGCTGTAATAGTCACAATATGGGCTGTTGTGGCCTTGGCTAGGGCTATCCAACAAAGCAAGGTAACCAAGATGTCAGGTGATCAAAGCTCCGGTGAACAGACATCAGCATTCCAGAGGATTCAGGAGAAATTCAAAGGATGCAAAGCGATCGCTATTATCCACCTAACGTCTTTGGTCATGGTGATTAATTTCGTCATTTATGCTCTGCAGTTTCATCTTAATCCTGAAAATGATGATGATGATGATGATGGTCTGATTAGTTTCTGTCGTAGTGCTTACACAGCAAACATGATCATACCCTCTCTTATAGCGGCTACAAACCCTGTTATTCTGATAAAGTTTAACGATGATTTGGGAAGAAGAGTAGCATTTTGGAGGAACGATGGACAAGATACTGTTGAACGTACTCACCATTCTGTTGATACCGGACAAGTATGAGAAGGAAATTTGCCGTATTGTTAATACTGGATAGATATAATATGAGTTAACTTTTCTAACTGTTGATACTGAACATTATAATATGTAAAGAAAGCTTTGTCAAGGGCTAGGATTAGCAAAAGAGGGCTAGGGTTAGTGAACGAGATGTTTAAAAAAATTATTTGGAACTGGTTGTTATTGATGTGATTAATCTTATTATACTTCCGGGCTAATATGAGGAGAAGAAGCGAATATAACAATTGACAATTGACAATTGACATTGTTATTCGATTATTAACGGTTATATTGCTGATATTTTTTATGGTATCTTATTTTACGATATAGATCTCACAAGATTTATTGCAACCTTGCATCACCAAATTTTGTATACTAGTGTTGCGTATGATATATTTGTATTTTATGATATTTGTCCTTTTTTGCCCACTTGAGTAGGCTAATATGAGTGTAGACTCCTATTTCTTTGTTCGCATCTAAATCATATTTGTAGTTTATACCATATTTGTAGTCTGTACCAATTATATATTTAAATTAATTGTACCATTTCCTTGTTTCTATTGCTCGGAGTATCATGTCTTTGTTTTTAATTAAGGCAGCTTCTCACGAGACTCCACAAGCCGTTTCGGCATTTCTCATAAGATATTTTCTTACTTTGCTAGTTTTGATTCTTCAGAAATGGCCCCCTACAGGAACACTGAACAGTACTTGCGTTCAAGTCCCTTGTGAGTTCCCTCATGGTGTAGAGAACTGGGAACGCTTATTGGACCTTTTGGCAAAGTCAGGTCCCCGTGCCATAATATCATATAATTAACTGTTATCTTTAAAAGTTTATAATATAACCGCGTGTCTAAGAAACGTACTAAAAAACGCACGGTATCTTCTGTAACATGACGTGTAAACGGAACTTGTACAAAGTGAGCAATTTAAACAAGTTAGCTTAATTTGTAGTCTGTACCAATTATATATTTAAATTAATTGTACCATTTCCTTGTTTCTATTGCTCGGAGTATCATGTCTTTGTTTTTAATTAAGGCAGCTTCTCACGAGACTCCACAAGCCGTTTCGGCATTTCTCATAAGATATTTTCTTACTTTGCTAGTTTTGATTCTTCAGAAATGGCCCCCTACAGGAACAGTACTTGCGTTCAAGTCCCTTGTGAGTTCCCTCATGGTGTAGAGAACTGGGAACGCTTATTGGACCTTTTGGCAAAGTCAGGTCCCCGTGCCATAATATCATATAATTAACTGTTATCTTTAAAAGTTTATAATATAACCGCGTGTCTAAGAAACGTACTAAAAAACGCACGGTATCTTCTGTAACATGACGTGTAAACGGAACTTGTACAAAGTGAGCAATTTAAACAAGTTAGCTTAATTTGTAGTCTGTACCAATTATATATTTAAATTAATTGTACCATTTCCTTGTTTCTATTGCTCGGAGTATCATGTCTTTGTTTTTAATTAAGGCAGCTTCTCACGAGACTCCACAAGCCGTTTCGGCATTTCTCATAAGATATTTTCTTACTTTGCTAGTTTTGATTCTTCAGAAATGGCCCCCTACAGGAACAGTACTTGCGTTCAAGTCCCTTGTGAGTTCCCTCATGGTGTAGAGAACTGGGAACGCTTATTGGACCTTTTGGCAAAGTCAGGTCCCCGTGCCATAATATCATATAATTAACTGTTATCTTTAAAAGTTTATAATATAACCGCGTGTCTAAGAAACGTACTAAAAAACGCACGGTATCTTCTGTAACATGACGTGTAAACGGAACTTGTACAAAGTGAGCAATTTAAACAAGTTAGCTTAATTTGTAGTCTGTACCAATTATATATTTAAATTAATTGTACCATTTCCTTGTTTCTATTGCTCGGAGTATCATGTCTTTGTTTTTAATTAAGGCAGCTTCTCACGAGACTCCACAAGCCGTTTCGGCATTTCTCATAAGATATTTTCTTACTTTGCTAGTTTTGATTCTTCAGAAATGGCCCCCTACAGGAACAGTACTTGCGTTCAAGTCCCTTGTGAGTTCCCTCATGGTGTAGAGAACTGGGAACGCTTATTGGACCTTTTGGCAAAGTCAGGTCCCCGTGCCATAATATCATATAATTAACTGTTATCTTTAAAAGTTTATAATATAACCGTGTCTAAGAAACATACTAAAAAAACGCACGGTATCTTCTGTAACATGACGTGTAAACGGAACTTGTACAAAGTGAGCAATTTCTTTTAAACAAGTTAGCTTAATTACGCCTAATTGAACACATTAACACATTTGAATAAACGCCCCTCCATCATTAGACACGTAGTTTGATGAGGCTGATATTTAGTGGTTACCACTTGCTCACTTACCCTGTGTTAGTTTACATGAGCCAATAGTTTCAACTTTAACCATATCAAACGATTTATCGGGACCTCTATGTAATATAGCAATACTTAATTTCTATAATCCTACGAATCAACACCTGACTAAGGGTTATCTTACAGGATGTTACCTTTACAGCCTATAGGGCATGTTGGAGAAATTTCATGTCAGTCAACAGAAGAAGATTTAAACGGTTTATTAATTTTATTTATGATTTCTGATTTAACCATATCTCGAGCGGCTAACCAGGGATAGGGCAAACCATCAGACGTCTTTACTCTTTATAACTCGAACCTGTTTATAATGCCGGTTATTTTGGTTTCCTTTCATCCTTTAAGTTTAACCGCGTTGAATGTTTAAAGGTCTTGCTGTTAGAATAGCTTAGCTTTGAACTTGCGTTCCTTGTTCTAAACCATCGGATAGAGGTCTTTAATTATAAATGCATTCTTGCATTTATTTTACTTATTTCTTTATTTCACATACAATTAAACTAATTTGGGCTAAAAATTACCTTGAATGTATTATTTAAACAATTGAATACCCGGTCAGGCAGATTCAATACAAATTCTATAAAGTTTTACTACTATACACTTTAAAGTTTTACCAAATATCTTTTATTTTATAATATTACGAATTTCATCCTATCTACCCTAACAGAAGTAAGAAGATGGCAATAGCAGAGTTATTAAAGATCAACTCCAGCCTTGGTATGTCCAACTTTTCTCCTGAAGTATGGAGAGTTGTTGACTACATGGCAGGAGCTATCCTCATTCTTTACTTCCTCCTCTCTACCATATTGAACCCAATAGTATTCTATCACTACTGGAAACTACCTTGCACCATTCCTAATAGTCTGTATCGGCTCCTTGCTATATCAGACTTGCTGACAAATTTGGTTAGGCCCATCGTGATGGTATTTGCCCATTTCATCTCGGAGAAAATCACAGAGGTTCTACAAGAGGGTAATACCGCTTCACGGATAATCACCGTACAAGTAAGGATGAGTATGACCATGTCGTTCACTTGCGTTGCTTTGCTAGCACTAACTCGGGCTATAAAAATTCAGTGGCCGTTCTTTCGCATCAAAAAGAGGTTGATTTTCGTTTGGCTAGGATTTATTGCTATCTTTGAGTTTGTGGTCGTGATCTGGAATATAGCTGGTGGAAAAAGAAACATCAAAAGATTCCTTTGTATCGGAAGTGCAGTAGCATTAAGAAAAGTGACTTCTGAAGGGGGAGGGGAGGATTTAAAACTCAGCAAACTAACAGAACTATCAGCTGCTCCCATGTATCTACATGCAGTGATCGCTGTAATAGTCACAATATGGGCTGTTGTGGCCTTGGCTAGGGCTATCCAACAAAGCGAGGTAACCAAGATGTCAGGTGATCAAAACTCCGGTAAACAGACATCAGCATTCCAGAAGATTCGGGAGAAATTCAAAGGATGCACAGCGATCATTATTATCAACCTAACGTCCATGATCATGGTAATTAATATAGTCATTTTCGCTGTGCAGCTTCATCTTAAAACTAAAAATGGTGAAGATAATGGTCGAATCAGTTTCTGTCATAGTGCTTACACTGTAAACATGATCATACCCTCTCTTATAGCGGCTACAAACCCTGTTATTCTAATAAAGTTTAACGAGGATTTGGGAAGAAGAGTAGTATTTTGGAGGAACGATGGCAGATCTCAGCGTCAACAAGCTTTGACTCCTAACTCAAGACAAACTACACAGGTATCTCCAGAAACTGTTGAACGTGCTCACCATTCTGTTGATACCGGACAAGTATGAGAAGGGAATTTTCTGTATTGTTGATACCGAACAGATGTGACTATGATTTCTCTTGGAGAATTTCTCTTTAGACTCTTAACTTGCGAACAAATTGAAGCAGCAAACTTTAGGCTAGAAACTATTGAATTGAAATAATCATTCCACGTAACAACGTCTTCTTCAGTTCTCAAATTATTTGTTATATAGTAGTGTTGAAAGTATTAAAAAAAAATTTAATACTTTCAACACTACTATATAACAAATAATTTGAGAACTGAAGAAGACGTTGTTACGTGGAATGATTATTTCAATTCAATAGTTTCTAGCCTAAAGTTTGCTGCTTCAATTTGTTCGCAAGTTAAGAGTCTAAAGAGAAATTCTCCAAGAGAAATCAAGTTCAAATGCGACTCATAAATATAGCCCCCTTGAACTAGATGTGACTATGTGAGTTAACTTTTCTAACAATTTATATCACAAAGATATAAAACAGTATTATACTTACTGATGTAAAGAAAGCTTTGATAACGACAATATTGACAGTTCCCAATGTTTAAAACTTAGGTATCAGCTGGCTGCACCTGCTCTGTTCCTTTGTCAGACCTGCCTCACGTGGCACATCTTAACTACCGTTCTTAGCGTTCTTGTTTACTGTAGATATCGGAGTTGGTTTATCATGTGAAGATCTTGTTTATTGCGCGGAGTTTATTTTTGCTGTGAATTAATTTTCTTGACGTTTATTTTATTTGAGCTGTCTAATTTACTCTTCATACTCGCTGTTTTTCATAATAAGTGAACAACCCGACTGTCTGAAGACTTTAAAATTATGCTTTACCCCACTCAATGTGATAATTGAACATTTTGCTGCCCGAGTTGAGCTCCTAACTCCAATGAGAAGCCGAGTTATTTTGATTTTAAGCGCTGTAACCGCTACTATT